ATTCCCTCCCCGCAATGTTAATGTACATGATTGGGCAGAGTCATCGTGAATTTGCCCAATCATGGCTCTATATTTGTACTGAGCCCTGATTGGCACAGTCTTGCAACTGACCTGCGGTCAGGTGCAAGACTGTAGCCAATTACCGTTTCGGATTTCGCAGTGCATTGTGGGATGTGCCGTGGTCGAACAGACCGCGGACATCCCATAATGTTCGGCGTTTGGCGAACGCTAGAACATGCAATGTTCGAGTCGAACCTATGTTCGACTCGAACGTTCAGCCCATCCTTAATGTCAACACTTACCTTAAATGATGTCTCTTAATCCGATCTTCTTCTTCTTCTTTCCCGATGTTTTCATCTGTCCCTCCAGCGGTGCGGCGGCTCTCCGATCCAGCGCTGACTCCTGTCTGCTAGCAGGCACTTCCGATCCAGCGGTGTCTGCATGCGGGTGCACGCGTCCATAGACTTACCTTGCGTCTCTGCTCGTCTCCCAGCCGAGAATCCGAACTGCGCATGCGCCCGCCCCAAGATCCTTTGCAGCCGAACGAACAGTTCCGGACTCTCGCCGCGGGATCGCGCAGCGATAATAAGGTCAGTCTAAACCGCTATTTAAGCGTTTTTTTTTCTTCAACTTTTTGCCTATATCTACTGCTTGTCAGCAGTAGATATAGGCAAAAAACCGGGAGGCTTTAGAACCCCTTTATTAGACGTTTCACAGCGGTGGTATCAGTCCTGCAGGGACCAGGAAGAAGTGGGAAGACTTCCCCAAAAGCTTCTCCTCAACTTTGAAATGCTTTGCAAAAAAGAAAAAGTATCACAGACACCGATGTTGCTGCAAATGTCCTAATGTAGTCACAGTCACCTTGAGCACGGCGATGCCGCAAACCTTGTTATCTTTGATCTCATAAGTAATGACAAACTTCATCCCTGACAACAGAAACCTCGAAATTGCTGCGGTCTATAAAAGGTAAACAGATGCCAGAGATTAAGGGGTTAAAATACCTGGACGCTCAGAAGCGGAAAAGCTTCTCTTTGCATTGTACATGAGCGCCCCCCACTGGTATCGGTTTTCATAACACTAAACCAGGGGTAGGCAACCTCGGCACACCAGCTGCGGTGGAACCACAAATCCCATCATGCATCTGCCTCTGGGAGTCATGCCTGTGGCTGTTGGAGTTTTGCAATGCCTCGTGGGACTTGTAGTTTCACAACAGCTGGAGTATCAAGGATATAAATTGTGGAGGGAGTTGTTACTTTGTATGTATCTGATCGGGGTCCCCCCCACCAGACCGGCTGTGAGGTTCAGTCATAGGAGAGGCTCTGTTTGTATCTATGTCATTGTCACCACCAGGAAACAAAGAAACCTCAATGAAGACAAAGTGAAAGAGAAAGTAGCCGAGGGAATGTTCTCCACCCAACCCGTCATCTAGAAGCAGGAAGACGACGGTGACGGCCTGAGGCAAGTTCATGGGAAGGTTTCACCGGGGAAAATTATAAGTGGAATCCATCTGAACGAAGCCACACAGCCGGGGAGGTATGTATCATACATGTGTCATCCCCATCCGCACAGCTTGTCAGTAGAGTTTGAGCTCTGTGCTCCGTTCTCGTGTATTGGTGTCATCCTGGTACATTATCTACATCACAGAGGATTTAGGCCTCATTCACATGAGTAACAGCCGCCCCCCCCCGTACAGGTCCGTGCTGCGTGCACAGTCGTATCGGGCCGCTCCCGGGAAGGACAGGCGCTGCGTGTGATTTGTACGCGGCAGCCTGTTCTTCTCTATGGGAGTACGCCACCGTACGCTCCTCCGAACTGCACGTCCACGGCATGGATCGTGTCTGCGTCCGAGCAGGGACACTGCACTTCAGTTGAGCATCCGGTGGCGTACTCCCATAGAGAAGAACAGGCTGCCGCGTACAAATCACACGCAGCGCCTGTCCGATACGGCCATGCACGCAGCACGGATCTGTACGGGCCGGCTGTTAGTCATGTGAATGAGGCCTTATAGACATATTTTCAGCTTCATATAATAGAAATCTCCAGTGCTAACATCTAAGACCCCCAAAAGTGATATTTTAGTTGAGCCTAAAAGGGGTTGAATTAGTCATCTAAGTCTTGAGTTCTCCAACAGAGAGATCTACACATGGGCACAGCAGGTGTACAGACCCGTGAACTCAGCACAGGGATGGTGGGAGCCCCTCATAATGGGCTCAGAGGGGGTACAGACCCGGGAACTCAGCACAGGGATGTGTTTTCTGCCTCTGCTGCTGTTAGCATTGTACCCAGTTTTCTCTGTAAAATGCAAAACCCCTCCCCCTATGTTATAGGGAGATAAAGATGTAGAGATATTATTTAGTCCTAGCACACTTCCTCCCCCAGTGTGACAACTCTAGTCCATTTTGATACAGTACAGTGAGTAGTTGCTCTAGGACAGGAATTGTCTTACAGACAGGATCTCCAGGGGAAATGTATAGTAAATGAAAATCAAAGACTGTAGAATATTACCCTGCACCCTCTAAACCAGTCATAGTTTTAGAAGAGTTACACTCTTTCTGCCATACTTAAAAAGGCTGGTTTTCCACCATTCGGCAATAAAGCCTCTTTACCCACTAGTGACCATTGTCAATCTTTCGGGTCCCTCTGATCCACCATGCATCCATAGGGCATTCTGTAGGACCCAAGTCAAGGAACAACCTAACCTGCTAACACTGATCTGCTTCCGTGGTTCCGTTGCCAGGATTACTCCCCTTAGTGCCCCCATATGGTGGTGGTGAGTGCTAAGTGACCCAGTAAACGTTGGTAGTCAATGGTATATGCCCTCTTAAACATTGGCAGTTGCTGCTCAGTGTGCCTCCCTTTTGTTGGTGGTCTGACTGTGAGAGCAATGTTTACATTTGCAATCTCTATGATTGGCCATCCCAGCGATCACAAAGCTACTCTCATTGGCTCTGTACATTTTGCAGGTGATCCTAGGAGAAAGCTGTTTGCTTTGGTGCCATTTATAAACAATGTTTCAGAAAATGGCGTCCACCTCTCCACTGTTTTCTTTTTGTTGAGGTTAGTCAAAGCTTTCATTGTATCAAATGTGGGAATCAGAAGGACGCATTGCTATAGTTGTTATTATTATACAGGATTTACATAGTGCCAACTGTTTGCGCTTTACAATATAAAGACAGACACGGAGAGACTAAGCGGAGCGGCTACATGACTAGGGGGAGGAATAGTCCCGGGAGAAAGGGTTAAAAAATAAAATGGGAATAGCTGCTCTTACCTGATTGGACGTGGGAGTCAGGTGTCCAGGAGGAGCCGCATGGGAAGGAACTGCGAGGGCTGAGGGACGTCCTCTTTCTGGAAATCGACGAAGGAAGCAGGTTGGCCCACCCTCCCTCCCTGAATGTTGTGGTTATGGGGGTTGGGGGGGTTTCTTTTGTCACGGCAGCTTGGCGGGTTAGGGGGTCTTTGGGGGGTCTACAAAATTGGAGTTCATTACAAAAATGGGGGGCCCTCAGCTGGTATGGGTGCTTCCCCCTGTTGGTGTCCGGATTTGTAAAGGGCGGGGCCTGGCCCCCTGGGAACCCAGAAGGAGTAAGTGTCCTCGAGCTGGTTGTGGTGCGGCTGGGGAAATGGGTGGAGTGTTAAGATAGGCCTTTTTGGGCTGGCGGGCACCCAAAGACCCCTTCTCAGGTCAACCATCGTTTAAAGTATTATTTTTTGTATATTTGGTTTATTACTTTGGTTATTGTTAAAGTTGTTGGTTTAATAAAAGGGGCTGCTGTGGCCGTTAAAATCCATGTCGCGCAGTCTGTGTGTTTTATTGGGGTTTTAACGGAGGGACGGAAAATTGACGAATCCATCAGTCAAGAGGGCATTACAGTTACAATACAATTCAAGACAAGATGGTAAGGAGGGCCCTGCCCATGAGGGCTTACAGTCTAAAAGGAAGGGACAAGTGATACATGAGGAGGGAGCTGTGTGGGGGTGAATTGTTTGAGAATGTGAAGGTTCAGTGGTTAGTTTGAGGTGGGATAGGCTTCCCCGAAGAGATGAGTCTTCAGGGATCACCTAAAGGCAGTCAGAGTAGGAGATTGACGGACAGGTTGGTGGAGGGAGTTCCAAAGGATGGGAGAGACTCTAGAGAAGTCTTGGAGGTGAGCATGGGAGAAGTTGACGAGGGAGTGAGAGAGCAGGAGGTCTTGGGAGAGCAGGAGGCATGGTTTGGTGCATACTTTGAGATGTGAGGGGGGGTTGCAGACACTGAGCAGTTGGTTAGGCGGATGAGTCTAGCAGCTGCATTCATGATAGACTGAAGGGGGAGGAAACTTTGTAGATGTCGGCCAATGGGGAGGGCGTTACAGTAGTCAAGACGAGATATAACAAGGGAGTGGATGAGTAGCTATGTGGTTTCATTGGTGAGGAAGGGGTGTATTTTGGAGATGTTATGATGGTGAAGCGGCAGGATTTGGATAGTGGTTGGATGTGGGGCAGAAAGGTGAGGTTGGAGTCATACACTTTAATTTACAACATTGCAGAGGCAGACAATGGTGGTACCCAGAGCTGGACACAACTGTTCCCAAGAACCACTTGCACTCCTTATGGTCTGCAACCTTCCAATGGTGGTGGTGCTCTGGTGATCACATGGATGGCGCCGTGCAAAACTCAGAATAGTCTCAACAGGTCACTGGCACACACAGAGATGAATTCAATATCTCTTAGATATGTTTATTGAAGAATGTCACGACATGTCATTAGAAGCTGAAGCCAGCGTTTTGGGACCCTTCATCAGAGCGACATAGTGACAACACTAGAGATATTGAATTCATCTGTGTGTGTGCCGGTGACCTGTTGAGACTATTCAGAGCTGGAAACACACACACCTCAATCCACTCTAATGAACAGAGATCTGGATTGATATCGGGTAAAAAATAGAATACGCTGAAATGAATGTTAATAATGTAATAAATGTTATCAGATAAAGACTTATGGCTGTCGGATAATTTCAGATGACAAGAATAAAGGTGGCGATCTGCTCCAGAGACAGTGAAGAGAATTATAATTGGCTAAAAGATTTCCTGGAGAAGAGAATGTGTAGGAAAACGAAGATCGAGGTCCATCCTGTCTACATAACCAACAACACTTCTCAGTTCTATAAAGAGGTCTCCGGTTATCACTTCGCCATCCTGTATCACACCAAGAAGCGCGGGAGGATAAATATCACCAACGTCACCGACTCGCTCTATGACCAGGAGCTGCAACATCTTTCTGGCAAGTTTGGTAAGTAATAGATGTTTATTTTCTATACATATTAAAGGAGAACTCAAACCTTTGGATGAACCAACCGGTTTTAGTTGGAAATTAATCAACATATTATATTGTGTAACATTTCAATAATCTAGGAAAGTCCATAAAGATAGCTGAGCTCGGCCCACACTCATCTTGTCTTGGGTGGAGTATGGGAGGGTCAGGATCTCTGTCAAGTTTTACTGATTTCTATATCTCCATTGGGGAGATAGTCCTTCACTTCCTGCTGTTATCTCATGAGACAGAAGAATCTTTCCCCCGTGGACACAGGCTGCTATGAAAGATCTTGATGATAGAATGGGGATAGTTTAGAACCTCGGTCAGGGTTTTGTTGGCAGTTGTGCTCTTGTTGACGGTGTTTCCATTCTTACTTGACTCTGTTGTACACTGAGTGTCCAGATTATTATGACCCCCCATCAGTACTTCGTTGGGCCGCCTCGTGACTCCACGAGATGATGAAAGGCGATGCGAGGAATCTGACACGGCACTGTTGCCCTTCTGTTGTCTTGTTAAATCCTGGACAGGTAGTGTAAGAGATGGGATATCCCTACAGGGGACACAAAACTGCAAAACCCTTAGGTTCTCATGCCTCCTTACCCTTTCTAAAATGTTACCAAAAAACTTTTTGCTGGAGTTTTACCTCCCATCAGATACTGTACATGCCTTTGGTGTGTGGATCCGAATTGTAGAAGCTGTACCCAAAAAAAGGCAAGGGGAGGGCAAAGTATTATTCACACACATTGCCTGTTGTTGATCTTTTCCCAATTACTGACTTACCTGGACTTGTTCTTTAATGTGTCTATGTGTGAAGGAAGCCATCTTGGCAGAGGGAGGGCTTTGCTTGTTCATGGCAGAGCTGCCTCATCCCCCCTCCCTGATGACAGCAGAAGCAGGGAGATTCTTATACTGCAGGTCCGTTAATACAGCTTCCTCTCCAGCAAGCAGAACAGTGATTAGCACAGCAGTGACATCACCAAATTTGAAATCTGACTCCACATTTGGTGAGACTAGAGGTCGGGGCAGCAGTGCATTAGATGATCTCACACTGCTATCTTTGTCCCTCATTGGCGATTCTTCCAGAGTGTGGATCAGCGATTTAATGTTTCAGTCTGAGCCTGCCAACAACCAGTCTTTGTTGCAGCTCCTCGTCATGACATCATCACGCCACTTCAGTCTTCTGCAGCCTAAGAAGATTCCACCACTGGACAGCCAATAAGAAGTGTCTACATCACCCATCTGCAGTCCAGAAAAAAGATTTGATACCCCGTAAATGATGTGACCACACTGAGAATTTGGAGATATTAGTGTTTTTTGAGTTCTAATATTATGGAGGGATTAGCTAAGCGTGGGTCCTGGTCGGATATAAGCTTTAAACCAAGTAGTACCTAACAGGTGACCACACATCACTTCATCCCATATGCAGCTGAACAATAGATTCTCCTTTTCCTTCAAGGACGGAATCATGTTGCTGTGGTGGTTGACGATCTGGAGAGCAGTGATCACAGAGAGAAGGAGATAATTATAAATGGACAGCCAGATCTGAAGAAACATGCTGGGGAAGTATTCCTCTTCACCGAGCGAGATAAAGATTCCACCGAAGAACGTCTGATAGAAATGAGAGACAAAACGATGAAAAGCAAACTGAAAGCATTACGGAAGTACATTAAGAAAAGTATGTAAAATCTGTATACCCCACAAAGTGCACAAACTATATACTGCACATATACGCATGTACTAACAATAGGTGTAATACCACTCTCTTATTTTAATTTTCATTCCAGGCAAGGGAAGAACATTTATTTTTAAAAGGATAAAAGACAAGGTAAGATGTGACTTCTCAGCACACAGTACCGCCCTCCTCCATTCCAATTCTACTGTACAGGGGATTACAGGGGGACGGTACCAGGTCTGATATAAGCATTTTATATTATTTAAAAGACTTTTTGTTTTTTAAATGAATACATTGTTGCATGATTTGTTGTTTTTCATGTCCGCCTGGAGTTCAGCTTTAGGGTCATGTCGCAACTGTGATCCTGTCACTGGCGCAGGGCCGTCTTTATTGTGGGGCAAAAGGGGCAGTTGTCCCAGTCATTGTTGTGGGGTCCAGAGCAGCTGCCCCTTGAGCCCACAGAAGATATACACGCTGCACCACTGGAGAAACTACCAGGGTGGAAGTGGTTGCATGTGCGACCAGGCTCTTGCATTCTGCCACTTGGGGGGACACGAAAGAGAAAACTCTTCATGAAGTACTGGGTGCTGTGGAGGAACCTCAGCACTGTGCCCAGTGTAAGATGCCGGTCTGCTACCAGTGCCTGGATGAGGGAAAGCATGGCAGTCATGAAGTAAAGGCGCTCAGGGTGGAAGCTGCACAAGGTGGGTGAGGGGTGCATTGGGGTGGAGGGTGATTAGGTGCCAATTTAAAGACCAGTGCCACTATACTGCAGGAAGGGTACCACTAGGAATACTCGTATACTTGGTTTCAGGGTTATGGTTTCTTGCATCGGGGTGTGGTAGGGAGGGCTTTCATGGTTTCTTGCATCAGGGCCCTGAGGTTTACACCACTGTGCAGGACTGTTCTTTTTATGGGGATCAAGTAGTGTTGCTCCACACTGTGACTGCATGACATCTCATGTGGGGTCACATCTTACACGCTGTCACGTATCCCTCTGATGGGTGGAGAAACTGCATTGCAGGACAGGGTGGGTAGGGGGTGGGGCATGGCAGGGGCAGGAAGTGCGCAAGAAAATGTTAGCCCAAGGTCCAATCAATATTAAAGGAGAACTATGGGGTAAGTGTTTTCCCCATAGTTCTCCTCAGGGTCAGGGGAGGACATAAACTAGCATCCTCCCGTGACCCAAAGCTCAGTATATAGGGAGCTACAGCTCGCGGTATACTGAGACCGTCAAAGCCGGGACGGATCCCGACACTGTCGAGATCCACCCAGCTGCGTGAGTGACAGCTGGCTCTGCCTATCTAGAGGCAGAGCCAGCTGTACCCGCCCCCTCCCCCGTGCGTTCCTCCAGTCAGTGCTGGACGATCGGAGTGGGGAATCCCTGCAGAGAGCCGTGAGTGACAGTCACCGCTCTCTGCAGGGAGATCATCGAGAAGTGAGCGAGCGACAGTATGTGTTCGCTCACTTCCCGATCTATTGAGCCGACGTGTGACAATTTCATTGTCACCCGTCCGCTCGAACTATGAGGATGAGTGAAAATCACTCGCCTCATAGTTCTCCTTTAAAGACGGCCCTGCACTGGTGACAATTCGCCAGCAACAAATTTCTGTATACAGGGCAGAGAAAACTCTCATCTGTCTCCATTGTATGATCACCTTTCTGGTAGAATGAGTCAGGTGTCACTCTCTCACTGACAGATGTGCTGCAAGAACACCAGCAATGGATGGGCACCTCACTCACCTTGCCTTCGAGGAAGTGACAACATGAGCACAGATGTATATTTCTCTGCCCTGTAGTACCCTGTGTACAACTCACCAGATACAGGATCACAAATGAGGCCATGGCCCTGACGGTGGTTTCCAGATCCACTTAGGATAATACATTTATTCTCACCCCTTATAAATCTAACGTGCAGCTTTTCTGTTCTACAGGATAAAAAAAAAAAAAGAATGAAGAAAGAAAAGTCTTAAGATCACTGAGGTGTTGGGAAGAATACGTGTTCTCTGTTGAATCCCCCAGATTGTAACAGTTAGTTATGGAATACTGCAACCTCCAATCTTCTCCATATAAAAGAATACAAAGTATATCGTCCCCTATCATAAGAATAATATATTATCACATATCAGGTGTCCCTGTTCATAAAATCTTTATCTGTCTCTTGGTATCAGATGTGACCAGACTGATGGTCCGGCCTGACTACAATATCGATTTTACAATATCTGTGAATGATTTGGGTTGTAATATATGACACGAAAAACAATCAATCGGCTGCTCCTACCAATGGTATCTTCCCAATCTCATACACAACGGTTTGTCCGATCTCTCTGCCATTGCCGACACTTTGGGTATTTGCATCCCAGATGGGCCAATATTACGTCCACCAGTTCAATGGGGAACAGACATTCATAAAGTGACAAATAGACATTTAATCCAAAACTGATCTATAAGGTTCACTTGTTAATGTCTCTAAACATGATTAACCCTTTCTGCAGTACCTCACATTTGCCAATTCTTCACTTCAAGAGGGTGATTGAATATGGGTTCACCCAGCGTATAGTTGGGTGAAAAACATTCATGCAGCATTACAGCTGCTAGATACAGCGCAGGAGCATTAGAATTCCTACTCTCCTCCTCTCCACCTATCAAATGTAATGCCACACAAATAGTGTTCACCCAACAATATGATTGGGGAACCTGTTTTAGGCCCCATTCACACTGAGCGGATTGCCGCGCGATTTCCGCCGTGATACTTTGCATTTTTGCCGCACTATATCGCGAGAAGTCGCCGGTCAATGATTTTCATTGGAGCGGTCTTAATGTACAGCTCCATGTCACCCGTTGCTCGTCGTGGCTGCAGGACCCTTTTTTCGGCGGATGTCGCGCAATTTTTCTATTTATTAATGCAGCCCGACGGCGAAGGTCGCGCTAACGTCGCTGGAATGTCGCCCCGAGCAGTCCCGCTATCTCGGCTGCGCGGATCCGCTTCTAAAGTATGTCGCTTAGTGTGAATGGGGCCTTAAAGTAAAACTAAACTCCGGAATTAAATCTTAAAAATACATTCAAGAACCTTCACTATTAACAACAATGTATCTTATTTGTGTATCACTCGGCTGTAGATCCTCCAATCATCTTTGACACTGTCCTTCCTTCTGGAGGGGGGCTACGTCTGTTCCCCATGGTCCCTGTGTGTGTTGTAAAGTAGTCACCACTCCAAGCTCACTTCCGGGATGGACTACAATCTCATGTTTAGTTTATGAATTTGTATTGAGATTGTAGTCCATCCCTGGAGTGAGCTTGGAGTGGTGACTACTTTACAACACACACAGGTACCATGGGGAACAAAAGTAGCCCCTCTCCAGAAGGAAGGACAGTGTCAGAGATGATTGGAGGATCTACAGCCGAGTGATACACAAATAAGATACATTGTTGCTCAGAGTTCAGGGACTTGAATGTATTTTTAGGATTTAACTCCGGAGTTTAGTGTCACTTTAAGCTGGCCATGCACATACATGCCATTGACACTCTTCCAAATGTGCCAATTGTATCCATAGTGGTGTAGTGGTTAGCACTTCTGCCTTGCAGCACTGGGGGTCCCGCTTCAAACCATGGTCAGGTCATTGTCTACAAGGAGTTTGCATGTTCTCCCTGTGCTTGCGTGGGTTTCCTCCTGGGTACACCGGTTTTCTCCCTCTATCGCCTTCAGCCCTTTATTCCCCCCCTTCTCTCTCTCTCCTCTTGTATTCTGTCCATATTAGAGATTCCCATCTGCTGCATTTTCAGGCACATCTACTGCAGTCTGTACACAGATCATTTTTATACAAGCAGGGGCGTAACTAGAAATCGCAGGGCCCCATAGCAAAATGTTGTATGGGGCCCTGTGACTCATGCAGATCCCATGCAGCTCACCTGAGGGTGACCCTGCGGAGCCCACCATAGACTCTCTTGGGTAGGCTCTGCAGGGTCACCCTCAGGTGGGCTGGTCACACTCCTTACCTGTCCGCCTGCTCTTCCTGCACGATCGCTGATGGTCCTGCCTCTTCCTCGGTCGCCGGGCCCGCCTCCTTCTCCGTCACCGGGCCCCGCCTCCTCCTCTGCTGCCGACCACGGGCCCTGCCTCCTCCTCCACTGCCGGGTCCAGCCTGCTCTACCGCCGCTGCTGGCTCTCATTGACTGCGCAGCGGCTGTGAGAAGAACGCGCTGCTGCACAGATCACTGTCAGTGATCTCAACAGCAGCGCTTTCTTCTCACAGCCGCCAGTGAAAGCCACCAGCAGAGGATGCCATAGCGACCCAGGCGGCCCGCATGGCATCTGGCCCGGACCCACCGTGCCCCGGGCCCCATAACGGCCGCCTGAGTCGCTATGGTGATTGTTACGCCACTGTATACAAGACTTTGTGTATCACAATGTTATCAATAATTACCTTCCCATTGTATTCTGTATCCTTTGTTTGTGTTTTTTGTTATTTTTAAAAAGCAATAAAGTGCCTAAAAAACCCCAACAATGATTTTCTGCTTTTACTCCCTTTTGGTCTGATAATACTGAACTCCGGCCTCACCTCTTTTTTCCTCTCCACACTTGTAACAATCAGGAGGAGATATTATATGTGTACATCACACTTCAGCTTTCAATATACCACTGAAAGTGTTTTGTAATATCTGTTCAATAAGTGCAAAAAATACTTGTTGGTCTGTCGGACATCTTGTGAGCTGATAACTTCCTGTGCTGCACCGTTATCAGTTACATTGTTCCCAGATATCTCGAAAGGCTACAGAACTCCGCTATCTATGGGAAGAAGAGGAAAGAGGGAATGTTTGTAGTCCTTACTCTGGGGTGACAACACTGCTTCTCCATAGAGCCGAGAGAAAGAAGTACAGCAGCCTGTGAGTGGTGGACAACATTTTCACTCAACTGCTTCTCCATAGATACAGTAGGGTGAATGAGCGTTGTAACCTGAGGACAGGAAGTGTGTTACTGGCAGGATCACCAGGTGAAGATAAAGGAAAAAAGCCTGGAAAACACAACTAATGCAGTCACCACATCATGGGACTGTTAAGCTGCAATAAATGAAATTTTTGTTTCGCAGCGCTGAATACTGAAAAATGGCCTGGATGGGAAGGGGGTTTAACACCGCGGATGTCAACTGGTTAAAGCTAAACTCCAGCTATAAAAATGTATAAATACTTACATTGGTCCAGCTTGGCAAAGTCTAAGTATATATATGATCCCTGGTGGGGCTACGGGGATGCTGGAATACACTGTACTACCGCAGCAACATCCGGGCCCTGGTACTGCCGACGTGCTGATCGACTTTCCTCTGCAGTGAAAACACTTGGGGTCACTTGCTCAGCACAGCGGCCATTCAATGAACACCTAGTAATTTTTATTAATGAATACTAGTTGTTCTCATAGTGGACAAGAACAAGTGACATTACCACCCCTTCTCCAATCAGAGAACACCTGGTACAGTGTGGCTACTACACTGTTTTGCTGCATCCTAATGGCCCTACCAGGAATTGTACTAATATTGTGCCAAGCTGGACCTATGTAGGTATATAGACATTATTACAGCTAGAGCTTGAAAGATGTCAGCGCTTCACAATATGGCCACCTTGTTATGTGTAGACTTGTGCGCCGTCAAAAAATGAGTTCTGTTTCGTTTCGTAAAATCCGTTATTTCGTATTTCGTAATTCGTGTCAAAACTCAATTCGGATTCGTACGAAATACGAAATTTCGTTACTGGCTGTTATAGTTTTGTAACTGTACGAACATTCGTTATGATGACGTTAAAAAGCAAAATACCTTTGTTAATATCGGAGTCGATGTGGTAGTTGTTTTTTTAATCCGAAATACGAATTCCGTTAACGGATTCCGGATCCGAATTTCGTATTTTAAAAAAAACCTACCATCAACTCCAATATAAATGTACTTTGCTTTTTACCTTCAATACAATGTATTTTCGTAACGGAACGAAATTCCGTAATGGAATTTCGTATTTCCTGCCTGTATTGCAATGCAACTCTCAGCAGCAGAAGAGAAAACCTGATTGGTCAACCAAAACGAATGTTTGCAGTATTTCCATGAAATATCAGAGAATTGTTCCTGGAATGTAGCTGTCTATAGAAATAAGGAAATGAAATACCACATGCTATCTTCAAAACTGTTTATCTGTATGTACCTGTCACCTTTGTATCAGGGCTCCACCTTCCCATCTCACAGACCTTGCACAAAACATAACCTGTGTGTTATTCTGCGTGACAGAGAGATCAAAACTCTGCCTTCCATGTGTGTTCCCGGAGGATGACGGCCCAGGAAAACGAGGGCCCGGGATTTACAGATTTGGACTTGTGGTAATGACATCCTCTGGACACCAAATCAAAGAGGATGTCAGAGACAAATCCCAGGATCTGCATGGAAGTTCACAAGTCTCTTTAAGACTCAGAGGGACTCCTATCTAAGAAGCCTCAGAGGTAGGTTTTAGTGGAGCAGAGTCACCCAGAAGAGCTAAGATGGAAGCCTCACTTGGTGACAATAAAAAGACATCGAAAATTAAAGTGGTCTCTGGAAAAGAAAAGAAAGATCGTAAGAAAGAAGAGAAACATCGAAAGCTTGCCAAGAAAGAGCAAAAAGTGATATCTTCACCCAAACCTCAGCAACAACGGGGAAGCCAGACCCCTGAACTAGAGAAGACAGGAGTGGCTCAGCGAGGTGAAGGAACTTTACAGACACATAGAAGCTATGACAAGACACAAAGGTCAGCAACACAGAATATCAGACAACCTGATCTGTGCATTGTGTGTGGTTTTCCCCTCGTTGATAAGGATGATAGCGTTTATTGCGTGTTATAGTATAACAAGCTATATACAGGGTGGGGGATTTATACAGATATAGAATCCCTCCCAGAGAGATTCAACTACAGAACCTTATATATTATATGGGACTCTTTAGGTGCCATGGATGTAATTAGAATACAGTACACTATAATATAATAAAAAGCATTTCTATTGCAGAAACATCTTAAAATGACATTGGAAGGTTCATATCCCTCGCTAGACCGGGGAACAGCTGCTGGGGGGAGGCTGTCTCCTGGTCTAATGGGGGGCTTCTGGATGTATTGTAACCCAATATGAGTTGGGTGTTTCAGGACCCCTTTTATGTCCCCTGAGGTCTCCTGTTGGTTGGGAGTTTGCCCTTGGTTCTTTGCATGACTGATTGGATGGTTCCCTTCCTATACAGTATATACGTCTCCTTGTGTACTGATAAAGCAGATCTCTGAACCTGAGGAGCCTGTTGGGTTGTCTTCATCCCACTGCAGGAATCAGCATTATATTCAATTGTTGCTACTGTATATAATCTTGTACTGTACAGTGATCGATGGTAATGATGTAACACTGGGCTGAACGGAAGGTAAATATGGAGGTAGATTTGTGATCCTGGAAACTCGCTGCCACAAGCGGCGGTATCAGCTGAGAGTGTTGAATCATTCAAAAAGCACTTGGGCAATTTCCTCAGAGACTGTAACATACAGGGGTACAGGTACACTTAAAGTGACATTAAACCCTCAGATTTTTTAACATAAAACAATTCTGTAATGTGCGCTGTACTGTAATCCATGGTTGTTTCCCTTCTCTTTGCTGCTCTTCCTTTTAAATCTGTATCTGTTCTCATGCTCTGCAGAACTTCTGTTTTGCAGCAGACTGCCTTGTCTCTGGAATGGATACACGGTGTCTGTGTGCAGGTTCACAACCTGAGCCAGCATTACAGGAAGAGGCACTCAGCTGCAAAGGGAAGTTCTCCCCCAGAATGAGAAGAGATGAGGATTTAAAAGGAAGAGCAGCAAAGAGAAGGGAAACAACCATGGATTACAGTAAGGCGCACATTACAGTATTGTTTTATGTTAAAAAAACTGAGGGTTTAATATCACTTTAAGAACAAGATCACACAGGGACTCGTACACACGCACACACATGCAGAATCACATGCATACACGCGATGGGTTGAACTTGATGAACCCGTGTCTTTATTCAACCTCAAATACTATGTGACTATGTGAAATACGGGATATGCAAAGTGATATGAACTTGTTTTTATGTGCTCTTATGTCATTTTATGATTTATCAGCAATAAAAAAATGTTTTTATTATATAATAATCTCCTGTATCTAGTTACATGCTTGGCACCTAAAAAGCCCCATAAAATATTAAAGGTTCTTTCATTAGTTATAATATCTCTGATAACGTACATCCTCCTCCTCCTCCTCCTCCTCCTCCTCCTCCTCCTCCTCCTCCTCCTCCTCCTCCTCCTCCTCCTCCTCCTCCTCCTCCTCCTCCTCCTCCTCCTCCTCCTCCTCCTCCTCCTCCTCCTCCTCCTCCTCCTCCTCCTCCTCCTCCTCCTCCTCCTCCTCCTCCTCCTCCTCCTCCTCCTCCTCCTCCTCCTCCTCCTCCTCCTCCTCCTCCTCCTCCTCCTCCTCCTCCTCCTCCTCCTCCTCCTCCTCCTCCTCCTCCTCCTCCTCCTCCTCCTCCTCCTCCTCCTCCTCCTCCTCCTCCTCCTCCTCCTCCTCCTCCTCCTCCTCCTCCTCCTCCTCCTCCTCCTCCTCCTCCTCCTCCTCCTCCTCCTCCTCCTCCTCCTCCTCCTCCTCCTCCTCCTCCTCCTCCTCCTCCTCCTCCTCCTCCTCCTCCTCCTCCTCCTCCTCCTCCTCCTCCTCCTCCTCCTCCTCCTCCTCCTCCTCCTCCTCCTCCTCCTCCTCCTCCTCCTCCTCCTCCTCCTCCTCCTCCTCCTCCTCCTCCTCCTCCTCCTCCTCCTCCTCCTCCTCCTCCTCCTCCTCCTCCTCCTCCTCCTCCTCCTCCTCCTCCTCCTCCTCCTCCTCCTCCTCCTCCTCCTCCTCCTCCTCCTCCTCCTCCTCCTCCTCCTCCTCCTCCTCCTCCTCCTCCTCCTCCTCCTCCTCCTCCTCCTCCTCCTCCTCCTCCTCCTCCTCCTCCTCCTCCTCCTCCTCCTCCTCCTCCTCCTCCTCCTCCTCCTCCTCCTCCTCCTCCTCCTCCTCCTCCTCCTCCTCCTCCTCCTCCTCCTCCTCCTCCTCCTCCTCCTCCTCCTCCTCCTCCTCCTCCTCCTCCTCCTCCTCCTCCTCCTCCTCCTCCTCCTCCTCCTCCTCCTCCTCCTCCTCCTCCTCCTCCTCCTCCTCCTCCTCCTCCTCCTCCTCCTCCTCCTCCTCCTCCTCCTCCTCCTCCTCCTCCTCCTCCTCCTCCTCCTCCTCCTCCTCCTCCTCCTCCTCCTCCTCCTCCTCCTCCTCCTCCTCCTCCTCCTCCTCCTCCTCCTCCTCCTCCTCCTCCTCCTCCTCCTCCTCCTCCTCCTCCTCCTCCTCCTCCTCCTCCTCCTCCTCCTCCTCCTCCTCCTCCTCCTCCTCCTCCTCCTCCTCCTCCTCCTCCTCCTCCTCCTCCTCCTCCTCCTCCTCCTCCTCCTCCTCCTCCTCCTCCTCCTCCTCCTCCTCCTCCTCCTCCTCCTCCTCCTCCTCCTCCTCCTCCTCCTCCTCCTCCTCCTCCTCCTCCTCCTCCTCCTCCTCCTCCTCCTCCTCCTCCTCCTCCTCCTCCTCCTCCTCCTCCTCCTCCTCCTCCTCCTCCTCCTCCTCCTCCTCCTCCTCCTCCTCCTCCTCCTCCTCCTCCTCCTCCTCCTCCTCCTCCTCCTCCTCCTCCTCCTCCTCCTCCTCCTCCTCCTCCTCCTCCTCCTCCTCCTCCTCCTCCTCCTCCTCCTCCTCCTCCTCCTCCTCCTCCTCCTCCTCCTCCTCCTCCTCCTCCTCCTCCTCCTCCTCCTCCTCCTCCTCCTCCTCCTCCTCCTCCTCCTCCTCCTCCTCCTCCTCCTCCTCCTCCTCCTCCTCCTCCTCCTCCTCCTCCTCCTCCTCCTCCTCCTCCTCCTCCTCCTCCTCCTCCTCCTCCTCCTCCTCCTCCTCCTCCTCCTCCTCCTCCTCCTCCTCCTCCTCCTCCTCCTCCTCCTCCTCCTCCTCCTCCTCCTCCTCCTCCTCCTCCTCCTCCTCCTCCTCCTCCTCCTCCTCCTCCTCCTCCTCCTCCTCCTCCTCCTCCTCCTCCTCCTCCTCCTCCTCCTCCTCCTCCTCCTCCTCCTCCTCCTCCTCCTCCTCCTCCTCCTCCTCCTCCTCCTCCTCCTCCTCCTCCTCCTCCTCCTCCTCCTCCTCCTCCTCCTCCTCCTCCTCCTCCTCCTCCTCCTCCTCCTCCTCCTCCTCCTCCTCCTCCTCCTCCTCCTCCTCCTCCTCCTCCTCCTCCTCCTCCTCCTCCTCCTCCTCCTCCTCCTCCTCCTCCTCCTCCTCCTCCTCCTCCTCCTCCTCCTCCTCCTCCTCCTCCTCCTCCTCCTCCTCCTCCTCCTCCTCCTCCTCCTCCTCCTCCTCCTCCTCCTCCTCCTCCTCCTCCTCCTCCTCCTCCTCCTCCTCCTCCTCCTCCTCCTCCTCCTCCTCCTCCTCCTCCTCCTCCTCCTCCTCCTCCTCCTCCTCCTCCTCCTCCTCCTCCTCCTCCTCCTCCTCCTCCTCCTCCTCCTCCTCCTCCTCCTCCTCCTCCTCCTCCTCCTCCTCCTCCTCCTCCTCCTCCTCCTCCTCCTCCTCCTCCTCCTCCTCCTCCTCCTCCTCCTCCTCCTCCTCCTCCTCCTCCTCCTCCTCCTCCTCCTCCTCCTCCTCCTCCTCCTCCTCCTCCTCCTCCTCCTCCTCCTCCTCCTCCTCCTCCTCCTCCTCCTCCTCCTCCTCCTCCTCCTCCTCCTCCTCCTCCTCCTCCTCCTCCTCCTCCTCCTCCTCCTCCTCCTCCTCCTCCTCCTCCTCCTCCTCCTCCTCCTCCTCCTCCTCCTCCTCCTCCTCCTCCTCCTCCTCCTCCTCCTCCTCCTCCTCCTCCTCCTCCTCCTCCTCCTCCTCCTCCTCCTCCTCCTCCTCCTCCTCCTCCTCCTCCTCCTCCTCCTCCTCCTCCTCCTCCTCCTCCTCCTCCTCCTCCTCCTCCTCCTCCTCCTCCTCCTCCTCCTCCTCCTCCTCCTCCTCCTCCTCCTCCTCCTCCTCCTCCTCCTCCTCCTCCTCCTCCTCCTCCTCCTCCTCCTCCTCCTCCTCCTCCTCCTCCTCCTCCTCCTCCTCCTCCTCCTCCTCCTCCTCCTCCTCCTCCTCCTCCTCCTCCTCCTCCTCCTCCTCCTCCTCCTCCTCCTCCTCCTCCTCCTCCTCCTCCTCCTCCTCCTCCTCCTCCTCCTCCTCCTCCTCCTCCTCCTCCTCCTCCTCCTCCTCCTCCTCCTCCTCCTCCTCCTCCTCCTCCTCCTCCTCCTCCTCCTCCTCCTCCTCCTCCTCCTCCTCCTCCTCCTCCTCCTCCTCCTCCTCCTCCTCCTCC